ATGGATCTCCCATGTTATATTCCCATATTCCATTGAGCTCCATGGTGAGTGTCGGCGACCGTATCATTCCCCCTTTCCTTGAAAAAATTTGGTCTCAATCTGCATCATGTTAAAGGAAACAAATCATTAACAATGTAGGATGTTGCAACACCATTCCCACTTGGCGAGGTCCATCTTAATAGGCTACATTTATTGATGTGCTTCAAGGCTTGAAATGGACCATCTCCACGTGCAGCAAACTTAGACTTTCGTTGTTTGGGGAAACCTCTCCTTTCCTTAAAGTGTACCCAAAACCCAATCTCCAATGTTTAAACAGTGGGCTTCTGTCATTCTCTTAGTACACGGTCAGCCTACTGTTTGTTTCTCCTTCCCATATTCTATACTAGGCTCTAGCCTTAGAGTGCATATTCCCTGGCTAAGGCAGCTTTTCTTCTCACCATTTAGCAAACTCCTGCAACAAAGAAACAATATACTAGAAGGCAAAGTACAAGTGTCAATGTTAGGCAAATTAAGCAAAAATTTCCTTTAACCGAATCATCAAGGATTGCCTACCATCTCTTCAACATGCCAAAGTCTGTTTCTTTCTCTTTCTCTCTCGGTGTTTCACTCACCATTGGGCCATTTAATGGTTTCTTTTCACTCTTGGCCTCTTTTCCCCTTCTCCTATCATTTTTTCTCTTTCCTATTCTTTTCACTTTTTCTCCACTATTTTGCTCTCTCAAACTTGGAAACCCTCACTCCCTTTTTCCTTAAAAGCCGAAGTCTCTTCTCTCAGGTAGCTTCTTTTGATTTAATTGATACTTTCAAATTCCTGCAAAAGGATCCATAAACACACTTGGCAAAGACGGGTTAGGATCATTGATGTAAACAATCTTCTTTGCACAAAGCGTACAAATATAGGTTGAACTTGTTTTTCCTTTTCTTCTCCCTCTTTCTTTTATTTGTACTCAGTATATTTCACTCCATTTTATTTTTACATTCTTTTTTTATTTACAGCCTCAAGTGTCATCCTTTCTCTTCACATTGGTCTTTTACTCTTCTTTTGAGGAAAATTGGATCTTGGATCGGTCAATCCACCCATTCCTTTTGTGAATATGAATACCTATTGACATAATCCAACTTTTTCCCTTTCCTTTGCACCCTTTCCTAAAACTTATTGTTCAATCCCTAAATAATGATTGGATTATCAACCTTCTTCTCTTCATGAGTTTGAAATCTATTTGGTTGTAGTACTAGGTTCGAACTCTTGTGTATTTAGAGCGTTTTTTTTGGCAGCTTTTAATTCTTCCTGCACTCTTTCTCATTATTCTTGGACAGAATGTTGAAGGTTTCTTAAACTGTCCTAGAATTGGACTCCATTACAAGTTTCAAATTTGGGGTCCTCCATTTTGATCTTCCCTCCCCACTATTATCTCCAAATGTGCCTGCACTCATGGTTAGTGTTTCAAGGAATAGGCAAAAAACACGAAAAAAAAATTGAGTTAGTGATAAAGCCACTCCCTCACGTGTTATACACTCCTCAATCACTTCTTGCATTCCTCCAATTGTACTTCAGAATCGTAGATTAACCAACCAATTCGAAAAAGCACGTTTTGAGAATCAAGGAAATGAATCTTAACAATAAAAGTAAAGCACAAACTCTAGAAATTAAGACTCAAAACGGAACATTGGATGATAGTACAAGGACAGATTGATGTACTACTTGATTATATTCATTTAGAGTTGTAGTGAACAAAACAAAATACACCCCTAATATGGTAATAGAAGCAAAAGAAGCTCAAAACAAGAATTAAGCAAACTAAGGAATTATAAAAAAGGACAATTTTCTGGATATGATGTTGAATTTAGTTTACTAACAAAGCAAACCAAATTATGGGGCCTGATTATCTCTCTCTTTTT